GGCCCTCCTCCGGGTTGCGGCAGCCGAGAGGCTCCTCCCGCCGCCCTGCCCACTGCAGGATTTCCCATTCAATGTTCCCCCCGACCAACCTAAAAAGAAAAAAAAAAAAAGAAAGAGAGAGAGTTCAGGCCAAGGAAGGCTTTTTCTTCTGTGCATTACGGCAAAAAAAAAAAAAAAATGTTTATAGGGCGGGTAACTCCCCCTTTCTCATCATGCCCTCCCACTCCCACCTGCACACTTTAGAGAGGATTTTATTAAACTCTTGACCTTTTTAAGAGCCTTGTGACACAGCTATAAAACCTGTCCTGTTATAACGGCAGTTGCACGGCTGCTTGTCTCCTTGTTAGCATTTTCTGACTCCCATATCAAATATACTGAGGCCACACATTTCGTGTACTTCTTCTTGTTTGCTTTCTCCAGAAAGTCAAGCTTCTCTACTCAGAAATATTTCTGATCATGGTGAACATATGCTATCCTGGGGCCCGTCATTTTCAGCAGTTGTTGTTTCAAGACCGGGCAAAGGTGAAACTGGTGCTTGGCAAATATGTTTTGCAAATTATTCTGAAATAGTCTTCAGATCCGTCCGCCTAAATACCAACTCACCTGGGACTCTGCAGTATTTGCAAATACCAATTATTCCTATGCACTAAAGGAGACATCTGCAATTTCTAGGGCTTTATCGACAGGCAAGCTACTTGCATGTTCACATAAAAAAATGCCCTCTCAGCTTTACTGTGCCTAGTGGGATGTTCTTCTAGATACTGTGTTTATCCTTAATAAAACAGTAGATTTGATTTTCCAGTTCGCCACCTATCTGCTCTACACGAGAGGGTATCAGTTTGGCTTTGAAAATTGGACTCTGACCCTCATCTCAGCCTGCTGGGAATTTCAATTTCTTCAGTGCCTTTTGTTTTGAATAATTCCCAGTACCTTGGTCTTTGAGACTTAAAGGGGCTCGAAAAACACCATCGGCGTGCAGGGGAAGAAGTGAAAGAAAAGATTGGTGTTTTTCTGTTAATAACGCAGAGCTTAATGTTATTGGCAGGAGAAAAGGACTCACCTCCTTGCTAGCAGCGTTGGAGGGCTCAGAGATTTCACCTAGGGAGGAGAAACCAAGATGCTGTTAGCTACCTAGCACTAGCAAGCTTCTAGGCTCCGATATGTCAAAGTTTCAGTGCCTCCTCCTGGCAGATCTAACTGTTCTTTATAATACACCTGTGGACACACTGCTCTGGACATGGCTAAGTGATCACATGTCCTTTTCTATTAAAGGTTTGACCATCAATTTATTTAACTCTTTAAATTTCCGTCAGTAAGTGCCTATTAGCGATTTATTTGCATGGAGCCTGGCTCGCTATTGCTTTGGTTTGGGCTTGCTCCGTCCCCTCCCCTTGCTTTCTGCTGCTGCACCATCAGGATTATTTGCTGTGCCTTCACCCCATTCCCACCAGCTGTTGAATGCCTACCTCCCCCTCACCCAAAACCAATGAAAAGAACTCTCTGGCCCAACGCTGGAGATAAAGGAGAGTGAGAGCCCCAGGGCAGGCTGGAGAGCAGCAGCAGAGCACCCAGGGATGGTGAGCATGGCCAGGCGTGGAGCCCGGCATGGACCAGGAGCGGCAGGGGTGCACCAGGGGCCTGCAGGGAGGCTCTCCCAGCTTGAGCAGTGCAAGGGTCACTATCTGCCTCCCTCGCTTTTGCACCTTGGTTAGCAAGCCCTGAGCTCCTAAGGTCAAGCATCCCTTTTCAGAATTTCTTCTTCTGTGGAGACATTAGCACTTCTTTCCCCTCACCACCTTGGTGTAAAATTGGTGCCTCCCCCCCTCCACTAAGAAAAAAGGTGCCCTGCATAAACGTTTCGGTCTACAGTGCTGGCTCTCCCTCTGGGCTTGCTCCCCATCCCCTGTATCCTGCACTCCCAGTAAGCACCCCAGCTACTGCCAGGATGGCGGATGGATCTGAGACTGTTGGGAGGCTCTGGCTGGAGATGTTTCTAGTAGTCCCTGAGAAACCCGTTGGCTGCCCAGGAAGCTGCCATCTATGGGGGAAGTAGTGCCAGCCAACCGAGCCATTCAGGACACCCATCCGCCTTGTACTTGCGTGCCTAAGGCTGTTGACACCCTCCTTCCCTCCTCCTAGGACACTTTGGCAAGTCAGAAAGAATAGGTGAGGGGAGCAGGGCTGCTGCCTGTTGGGAGGGCTGGAAAAGGGACAAAGCAGGATGGTTGCATCTGACTTTAGGACACTTCGTTCCATTAAGAGAGGTCAAACCAAGCCGCAGGTAGGCATGGTTCTCTCTGGAAGTGAGAGGAAAGCCAGTAGTTTCACCTTGGATCTGCCTCTCTCTCATACCCCCTCAAACCTGGTGCAAGGAGTGATGCAGGCGTGAGGGGCTGAAGAGGAGCCTGGACGCCATGGGAGCGTGGTGAGGACCCATACTGTAGCCACTCTGCCTCGGGCGCTTGGCTCCCCAGCCACCTCCCTCATCCTTGAGGGGACCTCCAGGCCCTGGGTACCTCTCTGCAGCCCCCAGCTGCAAATGGGGGCTGAATCGGGGTGTCACCACAATGCTCCTTGGGGGGCCATGGAGCAGTTGCCCCCTCAGAGAGAAGCCAGCCAGGATCTCCAAGAGGCAAAGAAAAGATCTCTTTGGAAATGACCCCTGGGGCATCTCTCCTCACCTATCTGCCCCTCGCCCACCCTTGGGAGCTGAGAGCTTGTCCTCCTGCAGCTTGTCCCAATGGGAGAGCTGCACCATTGTGGGAAGAGGTGATTTGGGAGACCTGGAGATAAAGTCAGAGAGGCGGCTTGCAGCAAAGTCTCGCTAGAGATCACTTGGCATCCCTGGATACGGATATGATTTCTTTTGGAAATATCCCTGCTGAAAGTTGCTAGCTTTGCTTCCCCTCCCCAGAAGCGGCTCTCATCATTAGTAAATACCCGCTTCCCGACGCGCCTACCTTTTTCTGCGAGCAAAGGGCTGAGCGCTTTGTTCTGTGGTTTTAAGATGGTTTTATCTCTACAGCTGTTTAGCACACTGTAAATGACTCGGCTCCCCCGTCCCCCCTCCTCCTGCATGAGCAAGGGGGTTTGCATTTTAAATATTTTAGGCTTAGAAGCAGTAATTTCCCCCCCTTAGGAGGTGTGTCGAACACATGTAGTGCTCTAAAGAGAGGAGCTGGTAATAACAGATGCTCTGTCAAACTTAAAAGGCGCTGCTTACCACAGAGTCACCAGGTGCCATCAAGATGTATCTGCTCAGATTGATTAGGAGCAGGGCTCCGAGGGTGCAGGAAGGCAGCGCTGCACACCCGACACGTACCAGAGGGAAGAAATCTCCTCACTGCCCAGGCAGGCTGCAGGCAGGGGAAGAGGAGTGACACCCGGAGGGGTTTTCAGCAAAGACCTGCTGGGGGGTGAGGAGGGGAGAAGCTCCCCGGGCTGAACCTTGCAGGGAAGCGTGCCTGGGTGAGGTTTGCACTGCAGAGGGGTCCCTCTCTGGCTGGCTCCAGGAAGAGCTGTGCACAGCAGCCGTGAAGCGGCGGCAAGCCTAATCAGCATGGCATTGGGGGGCCCCCTGCAGCTGGTTAGAGCTGCTCTGAGCAGGCAGCCCTAGCCTGGAGGCTACCTACAGCCTTTGCGTTTACTGCCTTGGGAAGCAGCATTTTGCTGAAAGCAGGCCTGGCCATGCACCTCTGCCCTGAAGACCTCTACCCCTCTCCTGCAAAGAAGGGAGGAGCACTCCCTTCACAAGGGCCTGCCAAGGTCGCCCTGAGCCAGGGCCACCACCTCCCTCTCCTTGCTTTGTGAAGAGCGGATTTATGCATATGATTACTGAACTCTAATTAAATCTCCGGGAATCAGCGAGCACAATCAAACACTTGCATCGTCGCTAGGAGGGAAAAGTAATAATAATAATAATAACAATAACAATAAGGGGAAGAGGAGGCGCACATTGTTTCTTTTTAGGCCGATGATGATCTTGATTAATACATGTTAAAATATGTTAAGTGCCGAGGTCTCACAGACAGCCTGTGGGAGGTACAGGGGGAGGCCGGCTCTGCCTCTAGGGCTCTGTCTCGCAAAGGATAGAGCGGCGAGGCTCAGGGCTGGTGGTCCCCTGGCCCTGCTATGGGGCGAAGAGCAGCTCTGCAGGTGCACAGCCAGCTCGTGGCTGGCTTCAAAGCCTCCTGGAGCCAAACCTGATTTCACTCCCTGCTGACCTAAGGAGGCCGGCAGTCTGTATCCTAACTTTCTTGTGAAGCCCAGGTGTGATTCTCTGAGAGGGCTAAGAAACCAAGGGGCAGAGGTCAGCCCGCAGCTGTCCTGATGCTCCTGAAGAGATGCAAGTGATCCAACACTTACAACCCTGTAAAAAGTGCTTCAAGTCGAGAAACATAGACATGTACTGAAGCACGAGTACTTCCAAAACTCGGAGCTCTCCACCTGAAAAATTAGCGCTGCTGCCCAGGGTAGAGGAAATACCCAGCCTGGGCCGAGCAGAGTGTTTCCTGACTCCTGCCACCCTGAAGTCACATCGCCTTCCCAGGGGGTAAACCCATCGCTCAGACACTTCAGCAGTTACAGCTGAATGTATGTGGGCGGCGTGGGTGGCTTCCCTGCCTGGGAGAGCCCAGGCCAAGAAATGCTTACAGCAAAGTGAAGGGGTTTTTTTCGGAGAGGAGGGGAACAGAGCCCCCGACTTCACCTGGCCGAGGCCTTGTTTCAGGGACAGTCCCCGCTGGGTGTTTGGGGGGAGATGGGACGGGGCAGGGTAGGCGGCCCCCTGCCACAAGCGGGGTCACCTTCACAGGGTGCCCACCCTCCCTCTCCTTCGCTCTTCAGTCCCCTCCTCTTGTTCTTGGCACAGCAGATCAGACCAGCTCCCCTCTTCTTCTCCCTGCCCCAGCAGCCCCAACCCCAAGGGAAAAAGCATCACACCTAAACCGCAAATCAAGTCCGGTGTGGGAAAAATGCAAACAAACCCAAAGCAAACCCAAAGAGGTTAGTGCCTGGATTATTTCCATCGAACTGGCAAGTTCCCTAAAGCAAAGTAAATACTTCTCAGCCTAATGACAATTAATTAAAAGGGAATGCTTTACACCCAAGGAGAATTAACTGTTGTCTGTAAAATGTATCTCCTTCCCCTAATTCGTTTGTCGTCGTGCCGGGGAAGCAACATCCCATGAATATTTCAGCACAATAATCTGTTTAAAAAAATAAACTAGATTTGGTGTAACATTTTTCCCTCAGTGCACAGAGACTCAGATCACTACAATAATCTGAAAGCAAGATCCCTTTCTCTCTTTCTCTTCCTGTACGTTGCTTGAGACTTATAGCTGTCATGAAAAAAGTAACTAGAAATAAAGAAGAGATTGTTGCTGGAAAAGATGGGGAGAGGTAATTGAAAAAAAGAAAAAGATCAGTTCTGATGTGCAAATTGTAGATAAAGACTTCTCATGAGGAAGAGGGGAGTGTCTGAAGAGGAAGAGGAGAGACTGTGTTGAGAGATAACAAGAGCCAGTAATTTCTATTCAGCGAAGCCACCAAATCAGGGAGCAGTGCTGATCTTATTGGCGGAGAGCCTTCAACAGCAACTAATCCTGGCATATTGAAAGAAAATTGTAAATGTTCGCTGCAGAAATTGCCTGCCTATTGCAGCTAATCGAACCCACTTTGCGCTCACACACACACACACGAGCGCTCGCGCGCGTATGCACACGTGCACACACACGTGCACACACACACACACGCTCGCACACACACCCCACCACAGGCTGGCAGCAAGGCCACCCACAGCCGCAGCACCCCAGCAAGGACATGTACTCGAGATGCTCACCTAGGTGCCCTGCCTCCCCTCCCTCACCACCACCCCCACGAAGGTGGCAGCTTGTCCTCATTTCCTCAGGAGCGCTGGGGAAAGTATGAATTATTACCAGCTCACTTACGAGTCCCAGCTTCAGCTATTTTTAATTCCCCCAATCTTGTCTGAACCGTTAAGCCAGGTTTGATAGCACTGTTTCTCTACAGATTTTTTTCTTTCTTTTTTTTTTTTTTTTTGGAAAGCTCAACTTGGCTGGGCTGAGAGACTCCCTAGGGCCAGAGCCACTGAGGGTGTGCGCGTATATGTGTGTGCGTGTGCGCGTGGGAGAGAGAGAGAGAGAGAAAGGGAGAGGGCATGACAAAAACTCGATCAGCCCGGACAATGCCACCTCGCGCTTAAAGCTTTCAAACCAGTATCCTTCCTCCCTCCCCAACCCCTTATCACAGTACCAAGTAATCTGTCTTTCCCCCAGCGGGCTGGACTTCACAGCGCCTTCCGCAACGAATCGCTTGCAGCGGGATGGGATGCAACTTCTTGTAATTGGATCGCAGGTAGGAAAGCTTTGCTTTTTACTGACATTTCCTCTCTTTTTCTGACATTTCCTCTCTCGCTTTTTCTTTGCTTTTCCCCCTCCCCTCTTTTTTGTCTTCTTTTTTCCCCCTTTTCTTTCTCTCCCTCTCTCTCCCCTCCCCTTCTTCCCCGCACCTAGGATTTCATCTGCTGCTGTCATAGCAAAGCTCCTGCCAAGAAAACAATTCCCAAGAAAAGAGCTTAGATTTTGCTTCCTTAGAGAATGAGTTGAACAAAACAGGGGGAAACTTTTGCTAAAACGGTCCTTTGTGGTGCGGGTTGCCAGGGGATGGCAGCGAGAGAAAAGAAAGAAAAGCGATTGTCCCCAGCAAAGAGCCTACCTCTGCTGAATTACAGTTGTGGTATTAATCCTAGCATCTAGGCTAGAGTGGTATAGCGGGGAAGGAGAGATGCAGTAACCTGATTTAGAGAATCCCTCGTATTTTCCTTTTTTTTTTTTTTGTGTAATTGCTGCATTCCGACACCGGGACACCTCCTGGACCACCCTTTGCAAATCCCGGTGTGACATGTTGGTTGGCAGCTCCTGCAAAACGTCACCTGGAGCCGGGAGGGGAGCCGTCCCGGGGGAGCGCAGCTGCCCTCGGACCGTGCCGGCGGGGAGGCAGGGGGGGAGGCAGGCAGGGCCGGGG